AATCGAGTTGTCCGGGGGGGTGGTGGTGGTGGTGAAGGGGATTGGCACCTAACGACAAGAGGCTATTCTTTATGTGCGCATTATAATACCATTTGCTGACGAGAACAAGGGACGTGCCAAAACGCCGTATGACGGATGGTTGTGCCCTTTGGTGGGCCTCGCTCTTACTGAACAAGGAGTCTGCTGCTAGCTCCACCAGTGACTTTTGAAAGATCAAGAGTCGAGGAGAAGGAGATTCATATCTCCGGCTCACATGCCAGGAGAGCTTGGCCCTCGGATCAATTTCCAATTTAGCGTGACAGAGTGTGGAAACATTTCTTTCCTCTCCGCTCCCCTGGACGTTATGGGTCCTGGGCCATTAGTCAGTGTTGTCGCTGCTGCTTCCCCTGCATCCAACTCCTCCAGGTGGTTTATCATGGCCAGAGAGGGCCTTCATCAAACTAGTGTGATCTCCATTCATAAGCACGGTTCAATATCTATTTCTGTCTGGTGCCGTTCCCTATTCAAGCTATTCAGTCCTAAATGGTCTGTTCTTTAAAAAACAAAAATTGTGGTAACAATATACACATGAATATCCATTAATATATTAATCTAATTTAAAGAAAGGAAAGAAGCAACATTGGGTATGAATTTAGGTCAGTGGTATTTCGTTTCTTCGCTCATAATCTATATAGTATGGCTCACAGTCCATGTTGTTCAATTTCTCCCCAACCCCCTTTTATTCCCATTGATGCTGCCTTGTTTTTCTTGAGCATATGAACTTCACAAGTCACTCATGCAAACCGTGAATGGAGTAGCTTAATGGCTTAGGCCTCTGCCTGTGGAGCCAGAGGTTGGGAGTTCGATTCCCCCACCGGGCCTCCTTGACAGGGGCTGGACCGGATGATCCACAGGGTCCCTTCCATGCTCACTGTTTCTAAGATGGTGGTGAGTTGTCTTTCTTGGCAGAGATGGTGATTAGAGATGGGCACGAACTGGTTCGTCACAGTCTGTCAAGGCAGCTATCAATAAAGCTGCCCGGGTACCCTTCTGTCACAGAAATGCACAAGTAAATAAACATGTATACGGATCTTGGCTCATTTGGCACATCCTTCCTTTGCTCTTGCCCTGAAAGAAAGAGTGCAGCCGACATCAGGATCGTTGCTGCCTCAAAGGGTGTCTTGCAGAGGTGGACGAGCCCTCGCGTGTGAGATTCTAGGAATGATTCACAAGGAGCAGGGCCACTTCAGTGGCGGCCTGCCACTATCCTCTGAGAGTCTCACAAGAGTTTCACACTAATATCTATCCACCATGGTACATCACAAACATCTAATAATAATCCCCAAACTTTTGATGTTTCCTTTGCCTGTTTTACACCTTTTCTTTTTGAGCATTTTATTTTTAGGCTGCTTTGCTGTTTGGTACTCTTGTCTTAATAGCCTGCCAGCTATTTTATTATGGTTTTAATATTTTATTGTGAGCCACCCTGATAATGCAAGACAGGGGCTAGGGTATAAATCCAAACGGATAGGCAAACGGCCTGCGGTGACTGATTTTTCTCATTAAGAAAATGAGAAAGGAAACACAGGCTTCCCAGATCACTATTTGAAAGACACCCTTCTAGTTGTGCCCTCAGTATTTGTGTGTGTGTGTGTGTGTGTAAAGAGAGTCAGCCTGCTGTAGTGCTTAAAAGTGTTGGGCTAGAACTCGGGAGACACGGGTTCAAAACCCTCATTTAAACATCAATTTCTCTCCGTGATCTTGGGCCAGTCCCACCCTCTCAGTCTCAAGAGGGGAGACGTATACGCTAACCTGAGCCCATTTGTAGAAAAGGTGGGATAGAATTGCAATGAGTTAGGAAACAAATACAAATCTTCCTTGGGATGTTTGTTGGGCATTCCTCTGCAAACAGTTTCCTTGGCTCTCTGCACATATTTTTTGCCTTGACCTATCTGTTGTCAGCCTGGCAGCTTGCGTGGTCAGTATTCTCTCTCTTAAGATGTGTTGTGTGGAGTCGGTAGCCTTGCTTATGGACAAAAAGACAGAGCCTACGTTCACACATCACTCAATATGATCTTGCAGAGGAAGGGCCAGATCTGTTCTCCATCATCCCAGGGTGAAGGACACACATCATCATGGACTCAAGCAACAGGAAGCCAGATTTAGGCTGAATATCAGGAAAAACTTCTCAACTGTTAGAGCAGTATGACAACGGAACCTATGTGCTTGGGAGGTGGCGAGCGCTCCAATGCTGGAGGCCTTCGAGAGAAATTTAGGCAACTACCTGGCAGATATCCTTTAATTTGCATTCCAGCCTTGAGCAGGGGATTGGACACGGTGACCTTGGAGGCCCTTTCCAACACCATCATCCTATGATTCTATGGCTATTTTGTGTCCTCAGAAAATGGCACCCAAGTGTGTAAAGTGACTGATGAAAAGCAGCTCGTGTGCAGTAATAAAACAACCGTCATCTATATTCAGGTTGAAACTTATTTTGAGGTCCGAATGATCGTTCGTTCTGTATGTGGAGGTGGACACTTGGTGTCACAGTGAAAAAGGTGGTGAAACCGTCCCTTATTAACAAAACGAGATAACAGAGAGCACTTTAATTCATGTGGGCCAGATGTCTTGTTTTGTCTGCTGAGATACTTCACAGCCTCCGTCGCTTCTCTGTCCGCTTCCCAGGGATCTTGCTGCCCGAAACTGCCTTGTCGGGGAGAACCATCTGGTCAAGGTGGCCGACTTCGGACTGAGCAGGCTGATGACGGGCGATACCTACACAGCCCACGCTGGAGCCAAGTTCCCCATCAAATGGACAGCACCAGAAAGCCTTGCGTACAACAAGTTCTCCATCAAGTCGGATGTCTGGGGTAAGAGCACGGCGCTTCCTTAAAAGGGTTGGATAAAGATGACTTAGAATGTGGAACAGAGTTGGGGGGGGATTAAAAACTGTATGCTGAAGTTCTGCCTTGCAAGGAGGAGACAGAAAGGTTCAATGGTAGAGCTTGCACTTCGCATGTAAAAAGTCCTAGATTCAGCTATTGGGATTTCCAGTTTAAATCTGATCTTAATTAGACCCTGCTTAAGAGCAGATCCACTGCCCAGTTTGAGGAGACAGTATTAGACCAGATAGCCCAATGGGCAGCAGAGTCTTTGGGGTTTATTTTATTTTATTTTATTTTATTTATATCCCGCCTATCTGGTTGGGTCAGGACCACTCTAGGCGGCTAACAGCATAAAATAATACAAAAGGTGTATATATATATAAAAACAATTTTTAAATAGCAAAAACATTAAAAAAGGTGGGGGAGACAATAGGAAGGAAAGGGGGGGGAAAGCGTCATAACTAGAATAGTTCTTAGGTTGTTTTCCTTGAGGCTATGGGCATAGAAGGTAACCACAGTTTTTATTTATTTATTTATTTAAAACATTTTTTTAACCCTGCCTTTCTCCTTAAAAGGATCCAAGGCAGCTTACATCATTAAAAGACAATATTCAGGCTAACAACTGTGAGAATACAAATGCTGAAAAGGATTGAATAAATGCCACACACACACAAAACGGTAAACAAAAGCAACATTAAAAAAACACATTCAGAGAAATAAGGTACAACAATCCATTTAAAAATTCCACTCAGGCAGCCCCGGTCACTGAGGGAAAGCTTGCCGGAAGAGAACAGTCTTAGACCCTGCTTAAGAATTAGACCCTCCTTAAGATCAGATCCACTGCCCAGTTTGAGGAGACAGTATTAGACCAGATAGCCCAATGGGCAGCAGAGTCTTTGGGGAGCAGATCAAACCAGCTCAGCCAGGACCTAGGCAGCCAGCCAGTCGTTCGTTCACCCTGCCTTCTGCCCTAACGGTTTAAGCAAGGATTGGACTCGAAGCCTCTCTGCAGGCGAAGCCAGTGTGCTCTCTGCCTGGGTCCAGTCGTATGGTGAACCTGTGCGCACCTTATGCAGATGTGCATAGATTTCCTAACTACATTTGGAAGGTGGTTTTGCCAAGAACTCTGAAGCAACAGATTTTCCTCTCACCATTTAGCCTGCGTTATTTGTAGCTTTAGAAAGACCAACCTCCTTTTTCCTTCTAGTCGTCCCCCTCCTTCTCAAAACGGTAACAAACAGGGCATACATGGGTCGGGCATGTGCGTCTTCTGATCCCAGTGGGGGATTAAGGAAGGCAGCCAAGCAGCGTGTGTCTGGTACCTTGCTCCTTGGGGGCTTAGATTCCATCATAACCATACAAAAGCAGGCCCTTCCCAGGTGGATGGATCGTGGCGCTGCAACAGAGCATGTGGGCTTTCCTCTATTATTATTTCTTTCCTTTCCCTTTGTTCTTTTTAATTTTTCCCCTCTCCAAGGACACATTTCCTCCTTTTGGCTGCCTGAGGACAGAGTTCTAACAAAGGACTGTTCTGGAAAAATGGCTAGCCTGAAATGGCCGGTGGTGATTTCTCATGTAATAGGATGTGATGTCTCCCGCTTACGCGCGACAGCAGCGGCCTTCTCTTCACGTTAAGGGAGAATGCACCGGGTGACTGAAGTAATTACATACAGGTTGCTGAACTGATAGCAAAAGGCTAACCCTCGTGGGGGTGGGGGTGGCGGGTAATCTTATATTAATTTAGTTTCTTCACTGGATTCTGAGGAGGTTTCTTGGGGTTTCCTCCCTCTCTTCTTCCTCCTCTGACTTGGCCAACGTCTGATACCTTTTCAGGCTGGAGCTCCTACAGAGATGGGTGATGGCTCTCCTCCCAAAGTTGCTGGATCCGTGCTCCAGCATTCCTCACCCTTTCCCTTGGAGTTGTAGTCCAGTGTCCATCCAAAGGCTGTAATTTGCCCAACCCAGAGCAAGAGGTGGTGGTAGTGGGGTTGCCACCCAGAATTGCAGCTGTGTAACTCCTCTACCTCCCTATTTATCTATCTATCTGTTTGGTTGGTTGGCTGGTTGGTTGGTTGGTTGGCTGGTTGGTTGGTTGATTGGTTGGCTGGCTGGCTGGCTGGTTAGTTAGTCAGTTAGTTAGTTATGTTTCTATCCCACCCTGCTGTGTAGCAGCTCCTACTCCAGGCAGCTCTAAGGATGGGGCAGTCAATGTCTGCTGTGACTTGATTGTGCCACATACTTTTCCTCCTCCCTGTACTTATGGGGCAAATGAACTCTAATATGTCACACGCTGTGTATGGTGTCTCTCTCACTTGCTTGCCTACTCAAGACCTTGGGTCTCACCAGGATAGAAGAGCACGCTTTCCCCCAGAAAACATTCTTTTATTGCATGGTTAATATATTTAGGATTCAAAAACCCTATGGCCAATTTACACTTGTGTAAAGGGAAACGGCTTAAAGATTTGTGGCAGACAGTTGCTCCTGACCAAGGTGCTGAGTCTTCCAAATTGGAATCTGGAGGTCACCGTTCATCCACAGAATCTGGTGAACCTGGAGGGGGCTAGAAAAGGTCACTGGTCTCCGATCGACATGTATCGCTACCATTTGGTATCAAGTCTGTTATTTCTGTTTTCATTGGGTGAGAGACAGAGAGGAGGACATAGAATAGGAAAAGAAAAGAGAGAGAAAGGATGAGTAGAAAGAGAAACAGAGGAAGATGAAGCCGTAGATGCATCACCAGTTGTTTTGGCTGCAGACCCATCACGTCTAACTGTTGCCTGGGGGCGACAGTTCAGCACGTGGGGGTGTACCAGGTTGGGGAAGGCTGGCCTTACGGAGTGGGGGAGAAGGCTGTAGAGCCCGTCCCTCCCGCCTCTGTCTTAAGGGCGTGGTTCATTTTGTCTACATGCATCGGATCTTGTCTGACTACCTGTGAGTTGGTTGTTTTCCCTGTTGTGGGTCTGAGGTCTGTTTGGGGAGAGTAAAGGAGCCCCTCCTGATCCCAATCCCCATGAAAGCATGCCCTCTGAGGGGGCAGAGCTGACGTGGAAGAGAAGGCCAGAAGGCTTGGGTGAGTCTGTGCATCGTGGGAGGAGAGGGATAAAGCAGCTCTCATTGACAGGGACGCTGTAGCCCACCCGATGAGGTCTCACTTAATCTGGCGTGACGTCTCTTAATTGTGCCTTTAACAGGACTTGAAGGAACCCGAGGCATTCAAGGTGGAGACAAGCTAGTAAATTGAAAATTAGGCTAATTCTCCCCCTGTCATGTCTCAGGAGACATGTCTGGATTGATGAAGAGGCGTGTTGCTCTCTTCAGCCATCCCGGGAGCTGCCCAAAGGGAAGAAGTGTCGGAGGCAACTTAGCTCATGTGTTACGGCTCCAGGGAAATACTAAGTTTGCGCCTTCCTAAACTTCAGATTGCAGGAGCACACTCTCCTCGCTCTCTCGCCAGCTTTTGGAATTCAAATTGTTTGGAAGGAGATGGACGAATTTGAGGAATAAAAATCACACACACACCCTTTTTAAAGGCATTTATGTGTTTACAGGCTTTCTAAATAAATAGTCGAAATCTGAATAATAAAGTAAGTGTTTATTCTCTGTAGTAAGTTGACAGAACAGGGAGGATGGGAACGTAGGAGAAATGCCGAGGCCAGTTTGCTGTGAGAGTCATGGAGTGGAAAGGGCGATCGTACCAGCAGTGTGCACTATTTCATGGGCTGTCCATCATGCGCCGTGTTGTGCCCTTGTCACAAAATCTATCATGTGGCCTGTCGCGCACCACCCGGCCTGCCAACTGTGAAAAACGCTTACATGATTGCCCTTATATGCACAGTAAAACACCACAGGAAAGGGGCTTGAACGTCCAGAGTGACTCATGTGGCTGCAGATTGTAGATGCCCAATCTATGCCAGATAGAGCGGGTGGATTGGTAGGAGATGACGCACCACGCTTGTGGGAAAGAATGGGGCGTAAGGGAGAGAGAACGCTTAGGAACTTTAGTAAAGACAGTGTGTCCTGCTTAGACTCCTTTTGGAAAGGGCTGAGAATTCCTGATGGTTATTAGCATGATTTACTCTATTCATCGGGAGTTCTCAAAAGTTTTAAAGCCGGGTTCTTTCCATCTTTTGTCTGGGTTTAAATCTGTGGCCTTTTGTGTTCAGAACAGGTGCTCAGCAGCTGAGCTACAGCCGTTCCCTATGTCTTTTCTTAGTGGGTCGCTTAACCGGGGCCTCCGGGTTTGAGTTTTGATACATCTCTGCCCGGAGAGCCTCTGTCAGCTGCAGTTCCTCCACGCCGTTTGGAAGTTGTGGGTTTTGAAAAGTTGTCAGCTGTCGCTTTTCCCCTGCAGCCTTCGGTGTCCTCCTTTGGGAAATCGCAACGTACGGCATGTCCCCTTACCCTGGGATCGACCTTTCACAAGTCTACGAACTCCTGGAGAAGGACTATCGCATGGAACGCCCGGAAGGCTGCCCAGAGAAAGTTTACGAGCTCATGAGAGCCTGTAAGGATTCCTTCCTTCCTTCCTTCCTTCCTTCCTTCCTTCCTTCCTTCCTTCCTTCCATGGCTAAAATGCCGCTTGTATCTCAGATATAAGCTGCTCAAAGCGTGAAGCTGAAATGTGCCTTCCTTGGCAAAAACCAGTGGGAAAAGGAAAGATGTATGATCGAGAATGGATTGATTTCCTCACACTTTGTGGCCAAATTAGCTCTGTTACGTTAGTCTGCTGGCCTAGAGCCAGTGAGAAGCCTAGCCTGCTGCCCTTACTAATCCTCACGGCAAGCTGGTAGTTGAAAGTGCAAACACATCACAGTTATGGTTCCGAGCTGAAAAGAAAGCACTGTTGAACATATCATGGTTTCAGTCATTCTTTAGTCTATTTGTGTAGGTTGTTCCTGAGTCAGGTGTCCCTTAGTAACCCTCGCCCAGTTGATTCCCAGTTCAGTCAGAGCGAGAATTCCAGCTTCCCCCACTGTTCTGAGGAATTGGGCTATGGCCTCCTGAAAAACCTTAGCTTTCCACCTGGCCAGGTGCAATAACCTCCCTGTGGTCTCTGCTCAAGGAGTGGAAACAGCCTGCCAAAAAAAAAAAAAAACCCTGTGCCTTTATGTGTGCATTTAAGACTGAGCTTGAAGCACTCACCTATCGTTCTCCTTCCAGGCTGGCAGTGGAGCCCTTCCGATAGGCCTTCCTTCGCTGAAATCCACCAAGCGTTTGAAACGATGTTCCAAGAATCCAGCATCTCTGACGGTAGGTGCCATCACGGATAATTCTTTCCTCTGTGGGAGGCAAGATAAGTGCTTTGTTTTCTGCATGATGGCTCCATCTGCATAACCCCCACGCATCTCTTCGCCGCTGCCTCCGCCTCCTCCTTTCTGCAAGTCGAGGCAGGGGTTTTCTTAGATACGCCAGGGCGAAGACTGTGAACCTGAAATCTTGAGATCAGTGAGTGACATCGCCCAGTAACCCGTAGAGCCGTTGGAAGGAGACCTCTGAGATGAATTCCTGCCCTGCGCTTGCACTTCGGGCTTGATTGCATGGGGTGAAAGTGGGGGGAGCATACCTGCTTTGAATACAGAAGGGACCCAGATTTGGTTATGGCTATCCTCACTTACGAACTCAGAGACCTGCACCAGATTGCAAAGAGCTGCTGTCAATCAGAGCAGGCAGTTCTCAAATAACTGGAGTGGTGGACAGACTTAATAAAAAAAATAGTTAGGGGCGATGGAGAAGGAGGGGAACGAGAGATATGGGCGTCACAGCTTCCTTATTCGTTTTTGGAGGTGGGGGGCTTGAATATCAGGACTGGGGTAGAAGCACAGAAAGGGTAGGTAATAAGCCGTACCTTACAGAGACACCAAGTCTGTCTTGTCAACATTGAGTAGCGCGCTGTAAGATTCCTTAGGTTTTTTTTTACAGGATTGAATCCAAGGCTTTCTGCATGCCAAGCATGTATTCTGCCTCTGAACAATATTTTTGTTTAGCGCTAATATTAATTCTAAATTAGTACCATCCCAGAATTAACCACCAGAGCACACCGGGAACAGAACGGCACCTGCCCGGTCTCTCTTTTGGCTCTTACATTATTATTATTTTTTTCAAAAAAAGCTGCTGAAGGATGCAGCGGTCATCTAAGGATACACATTTCTGTTTGGGACTAGTGCTCTTGAACTGAAAGCCAGGTGGGATGGAAGGTACCTTTAATTGGTTTTGTGCCACTGCTAGCCTTGGCCCCATCCAAATAGCTCCTAAGGGAATGTGGCCCTTAGAGAAATTGACCCCCTCACTTCACAGCTACAAACCTTTTAGGGCTGTAAATTCCCATTTATTTCATGCTCAGGTGTAAGATTTTTCGCCTTGCCTGCAAGAGGGTGAGATAGTTTTTCTTGGTCTCCCTTAGACTTTTGGATATGTGAGAGTGTGTGCTTTTTGTTGGTTGGTTGGTTGGTTGGTATAGATTTCACAAAACCATGATAGTGACCATCTTAATTGAGGGGACTTCTAAACATCAAAAGCTTTAGATAGGTTGTTCACATCTTTTGGATCAACTCCGCCTTCCTCTTTGCGCGGCCAGCCTGACGCGCATCCTTTCACGGGGAGTGGGGGGAAAGAGAGTCATGGTGCAATTTTGTTGGTTGGTTGGTTGGTTGGTTAGTATAGATTTCACAAAACCATGATAGTGGCCATCTTAATTGAGGGGACTTCTAAACGTCAAAAGCTTTAGATAGGTTGTTTGCATCTTTTGGATCAACCCCGCCTTCCTCTTTGCGCGGCGAGCCTGACGCGCATCCTTTTACAAGGGGGGGGGGAGAGAGTCATGGTGCACAGGGAGATTTAGAGTCTGCTGAGAGTTGGCTTTTCATCTTCTCCTTCCCAGAGGTGGAAAAAGAACTGGGGAAAAAAGGGATGCGGAGCGTCGTGAACACCTTCCTGCAGGCTCCGGAACTCCCCACGAAAACAAGAACATCCAGGAGAGCGGCTGAATGCAAAGACGTCCACGAGAGTTTGGAGACGGCGGCCGGGAAAGGCCCAGGGGAATGTGGTATGTCCCGCGAAACCAAATCAAAGGGATTGCTCAGTATCTTGTGACACTCGTTGTTTTATTAATGGCATTGCGGAAGGCAGGCAGGCAGGAAAGAGGTGGAATGAATTTTTTAAAAAAGGACTCTTGTGTCCTAGCCCTGGCGTTACAGGAATTCACAAGTGGCCCTTGTGCCGTCTTTACCATGGTGTGTATCTCTGGATCTGGGGTGGGCAGCCACTTGCAGGTGTTGGAGGGGCATCCCCAGGAAAGCCAGCAAGAAGGAGGTGCCGTATCCAGTCTCTCTCTTCCTCACTCTTGCATGACAGGCAGATTTTCCTTTGCCCCTTGCAGGGCGTTGGATCAAAGCGGCTTTCCTTTGTGCAGGATCAGGCAGAGAGGGATTCCGCCCAACTCCTCTGTCTAATCTAATCTTAGAACGGCAGAGCTTTGAAGGGACCCGATTGATCATCAAGTCTAGCTCCCGTCATGGAAGCCCAGTGGGGGGGGAATCAAACTCCCAACCTCTGGCTCCGTAGCCAGAGGGCAAAACCCCTGAGCTTTCCAGCAGTTCCTCTCCCTCCGGAGCACGATTCGGTACCAGACTCCTTCCCCTTCCCGCTTCTTCCCATTGCCGCCCGTCCTTCCCGTCGGGAGTCTGTTCCGTGAACGCCAAATAGTATCCCTTCTGGCAGGTTCCAAATATAATTTCAACAAGGAGCACGGCGAGGTTATTTACAAAAATCTGCCATGAAATTAAACAGTCTTTCAATCAGTGGCTCGAAGCAGAGAGCACGTCTCCGCGGCCCCGCAGACAAATTTTAGGGTGGTTTGGAGATGCGAGTTGGTAGGGAAGCAAGAGGAGGTTTCTGTGGCCGCAACCTCGGCTTTTGGGGCCCAGAGCTGGTCTTTGGGCCAGGAAAATTCCTGTCACCGAGCCAAACAACTCTTGTTCCTGTACAGGTGTCTGGTCAAAGTGAAAGCAGTGGAATGGACTTACCCTAGAAGGTGTCAGGTTCTCGTCGGTTGGAGATGTTTAAACACAGACTGTGCCTCGGGGTGCTTGGGCTGGGTATTTCCTGCTTTGTCAGGCGCTGTGCACACCCCTTGGGACCCCTTACAGATTTATAATTCGGCAATTTCATTTGCTCATTATTAGAGAACTTCTTGGCATGCCGAATCTACCCTGGATTTCTCGGTGGGCCTGGAAACCCACTCCAGTCCCCAAACCGTACAGATCTGTTCCCCATCAGATATTCAGTATGGATGTAACCAGCCCGAAGGAAGCATAGTCTCAAGCAGTGATTCCTCAGCCTTGGGTCCCTAGAGAGTCTTGGACCGCAACTCCCAGAAATCCTGGCCAGCCCAGCGATTGGAGGAACGGCTTCTGGGCCTCGAGGCGTTGGGCTTGGTCTGGCCGTTGGACCGCAATTCCCAGAAATCCTGGCCATCCCAGCGATTGGAGGAATGGCTTCTGGGCCTCGAGGCGTTGGGCTTAGTCTGGCCAACCAGATGCCTCAAGAGCGTGAGATGATGGGAAGAGCCCTTCCCTGCTCTTGTTTCCTGGCTCCTGCAGAGTAGACTGCCTCTGGACGTGGAGGCTTAGCCGTCAGACTCACTGCCGTTGATAGACCTCTGCCGATTGATTTCCTACTTTAAATCCATTTCTTTGTCAGTAGCACCGAACGGAGCGTGTCAGGTCACCCAGTGCCCTAAGATAAGCTGTTCTCGGCTCTCAGGTAGCCTTGGCTTCTTCCCTCCACCAAAATCTGCGGCGTGGGAGATAATAAAACTGGCACACCTTAATAAGGGTTACTGACATAATTTATGTGAAGCACTGTGAGCACTTGAAAAAAGGAGCTAAATAAATACGAAAATCTTATTATTCCAGCATGCGTGAGCGGCGTAAGTGATGTGAGCCGCATTTAAAATCAATCTCCAGGTATGGGGATTCTGAGGTGAGCAAATTGGTTTCTTGTTTAAGCAAAGCACAGTCAAATGGTCCCTCTCTC